TAAATCATAACTTTGTTTAGGTATACCCACATATTATTGAGTAATACAATGATTCTCATTACTTTTCAGCCATACCATGTATAAATCATGTTACTGTAAAACTGTGATTGCCTTCATATGAGGGTCATGACTCATATCCTGAACCTGAATGATTTTTATTTCTCATAATAGGAGCTACTTTATTATTTAAACAAGAATTTGAATTCGAAGAGCAGTGAGCTAAAATAAACCAATAACAAAAACACAAAGTTCCTTCAATTTTTTTTTCATTGTATATTCTACAAATAGAGTAACGAAAGTGAATTATTAGTTACTACCACCATTATTATTTTATGCTCAAAACTGCACATTAATGACAAAATATATTTTTTTTTGTTATTAAAAAAAAAATTATATACACAAAATTATCATTTATTGATTCATCACCTTTTTTTCAAACATAATCTTTATCATCCCAGGAAATAAATTTTCTCTGATAATTTTTTTTTAATACATTAGCTTCAGTCCTATTTGTATACAATTTAAATGCTAGTTTCTTTATTTCTTCTTTCATTGAAAAATAAAATTTAACTATTATGTTTGTTTTTTTTTGGTAGATACTTGATTGTGAAGTAGTTGATTTTGAGATTTAGCAAATAGTGAAGCACCTGAATTGTGAAGATTAGCTCTTCACCTGTATGAAATTTGTATAAATTCTGCCTCTATTGAAAGACTCTGATCCAATATGGGTTTTATACATTCAAAAAAAGAGGATTGTCTTTATGTATGTAAAAAAAAAATAGTTTTAAGCTTTATTATAAAATGATTAATTAATAAAAAATTAAAAATCTATTTATTAAAGCATGAAAAAGTTCTTGGAATGAAGTGAATTATTTCAAAAGAAAAAATAGTTGGAAATTAAAAAATATGGAAACCTTTATAAGAAAAATCACATTGCAATTCCCATAATCAAGAATCTGTTGGTGATGATAATGAAGATGAACTGCTTGATGCAAATAAAGTAACTAATGATATGACACTCAGAGATGATAATATTGAAAATAATGACTGAAAATTAGCATCTTTTGAAGGAGAAGAGGATTTAGATGTCTTTGAAGAAGGAACTGATAATTCAATTAACAGAACTGAAGATTGGGTAGAACTTATTCAAAATTGGATGAATATGATTGATGATAATGAAGATATTTATGACCCTTTAGAATTTATATCTGTAGATCATACTATACATCCTGCTGATGATCCAATTGCCTAATAAAGTCTGTGTAGTATTTTTAATGATAATTTAGAATACCTGATTTTGTAAATTCATTCGATTAAATGTTAAAATTTGAATTTAAAATTAAACAATATGATCGGTTCAGCAAATGACTGTGTCATTTAAAATTGACTTTCAAATGACCAAATGACTATGTCATTTGAGTCATTTGAGGTCATTTAGTCATTTGTCATCACTGGCAGGAGCAGTGTCAAAGTTAAGGAGAGTTGGATCATCATAATCTAAAGTACAATAATTACATTCTTGCTTATCCCCTTTTGCTAATTCAAAAACTCTGTATTCTATTACTAAATATAAATAAAATAAAATGGCGGTGTTATTTTTATTTTGTCCCCCAGCATTACCATAGGTAATCTTTAAATACTTTTACCATTGTTCAATTTCTTAATTCCATAAAAGATCATATTAAGTGTTCCATTTGGTCCTTTTCTTATAATTTCATTTTATCAAGTACATAATTAATTTGTTCCCTTACTACTTCATCTTGAATACCAAATAAATGGACTTTATGTGAACTAAGATAATAAATTACTTACTTGTTGGTCAGAATGTGGTACATGAACATTTTGGGCTCAATCATAACTGTAATGAGCAGTAACATCAACATTGCAATATTGTGTTTTACCCTTTGAGTAATTTTGGCCAATTAGTTTCTTTGTTCTTCAGCCAATTTGGTATTTTTATTATAATAATTTCTTTCTAATCTTGCCTAGAGTTGGTAAACATTCTGTAATTCCTGCCACCCCAGCCCACAAATTTAATCATCACATCATTGATAAATGTCACATTGATTTTACAAAATTTTGAGCTACAATTTAGTTTCCTTTTTTTGTAGAATGAATTGCCATTTTGGTAGGTTCTATTTAAAAAGAAAATATTTTCCAATAAAAACTACTAACAACTCCTCTAGTAGTCTAAATAGAGATACAAACAATTTATCCAATGGTTCTAAGGGTACATAATATGCAATTGCATCAGGGTGGTTTCCTTTTAGATTATTATAATGGGTAACAACCATTTGCTTTTATCTATGTTTGAATGTCACGTGTTAAATCTTAATACTTTTACTGGGCTTGATTTAGTAGGTAATGGTGAAAGGTTGGTTTCGTGGTGAATTTTTAGTTTACTAGGGGCAGTCATTTTCTTTTTTTTGTGTAATTCATTGTCTTATATACAATAAATAAAATTATGTGATATTACCTCATTGTAAAAAAAAGAAAAAAAAAATTTTTTTCCAATGAAAAATTGTATACCTCTCACCATCAATAAACAGCATCTTGTAC